AGCTCACCGGGATATGGGAGAGTTAGGGCTTGTAGCCTTAGGCAGAGTTAGTCAGCCTGAACCACCTCACTAAGCATGATGGAGGCCAACTAGTTTGCCAAGGCTATTAGTAACAGGATAACAAAGGCAAAACCGGCTCACCAGGCCACATTATACCTAAAAAGACGACCTTAGACTGCATCATATATCTTGGCAGCTTTGCAAGCAGCATTATTCATCCTCTGACATCATTATTTAGTTTGTAATCTCTCTCTCCGTGTAGTATAAAAAGCCATGTATTAGAATTAATTAGACAGTGAATACCACCCCAGTTATTGGCACAGATAGCGGTTATTAGCACTTTAAACAAGCTCTCAGCTAATCCCTGACCTTGGCTTTAACTCGCGCCCCCAGTCCAGGCTGTTTAAACGGTGGTCCCTTCATCTCACCAGGGGATTGGCCTTTGCTGCCACAGTTTTAGGGTACTAGTCTAACTAGTCCGGTTACTTGGAGACACCTGGCGCCAGCCTAGGATCAGTGAAACTTGTTGAGACAAACTTCGCAGTGGGCCTTGGCGTAATAGCCTCGTTCATTGGGAGTGGTTGGAACCAATTGTTGTATATTGGTGGGCCAACTATCTTCAAGGGAAACCTTTCTGAACTGTAGTCAAAGACTTCTAGTCAACTTGGGAGCCTGCCCGGCACCAGCTTTCAGCCATTTGGCGCAATATAAGACCTCCCCATCCCACAAACAACTTAGGTGGTTTGACCGCTAGTTGAAACTCTGATAAACCTTTGAGAGCGAGTGCTTTTTGGATTGACGGTCGATACGTGACCTACCTCCCCGAACACACACACACGATTGGCATTAGGATTAGTTGGTTGTTGGTTGATAGTGTTAGTTGTTGAGTAGACTTCGTCTCTCAGTGTTAACACTAGATTTCACGGCCGCACTCCAGTGCACCATTTCATTGGATACAGATCCCTCATTTTTTTGTTTGGCTTACCGGCGGTTGAAAGCTTGGAGGGTGGGCTGGGAGAGCGGCGCGGGCATCCTTCTTCCTCTGAATCCGCAGGGGAATGTGGTCTGTGGGCAGGGAAGCTGCCCTCATTCGACCCTGTGAAAAAAAAATTCGGGGTGTAGTACGGATCTCGTGGATCAGTATCCCCTTGCCTAAATGAGAAACAGGATGGATTGATCGCAGGAGAACATCTGGAGCCGAGATTACATTTATGAGTCTCAGATGATGGCAGAGGCCATTTTCCCGAGATCATTATTATTATTATTTCCGGCCTGACAGCCGGACCTAACTACCAGCCCTAGGCACCGGCTCGACCGGCCCGCATCCCCTTGAGCGAGCATGAGGGTTTGTGCGAAGAGAGCCACGTGGATCCGTGGATTGATAGACTCGTGACCAGTCTGCCTACGAGCAAAAAATGAGGCGAGCTCTTTGCCGTAGGCAGACCGGTACAATTCGGAACAAACAATCGAGCTGGGCCCGGAGTTTGAAATTTGAGTGGTGCCGATCACGCCGATCACCGGGCCCCTGGGCTCGGTCCGAAAGTGAATTTCTCAAGCAAACTCAGGCATACGCTGTGGTCTCTAGAGGCTGTGGAATAAAATTCTGAAGAGACAAAGATGAAGACAGGACACCTCCAATCAAGTCTTCAACTTTGAGCAAGTGATCAAAATGAAATTTGAGTCCAGGGCGTGGGTTGCAAGAAATTTTCAAACTCCGGGCTCAGCCCAATCGATCATTCCGAATTGTACCAGTCTGCCTACGGCAAAGTGCTTGCCACATTTTTTTGCCACTTGTAGGCAGACTGGTAACGAGTCTAGTGGATTGATGTCTATCACTGATTGCCATCGCACCGCCACAGCGACCAAACACCGACGCGGAACCGAAACAGTTTTTTTAAACGGCCACCACCGTGACTCACGCGCTTCGTGCATCTTCCATGGCCCCACCACCCCTCATCGGCGACGAACACGGAAACTACAGAGTTCAGATCGTTGGGAACTCTGGTAAGCCGTCATCCTGTGGGCATGGAGGCAACTTGATTACCTACATGTTGTACGTCCAGGCGCGGGCAAGGGAAGTGGACGGTAGCTTGAAGCGGTCACGAAGTATGCTACCCATTCCATTGGTAATTTTAGAGCACGATCGGAAAGCAGCTGGCGGAGCTCCTGGGCGTGCCGTTCATCTCGCTCGACACGCTCTTCTGGAAGCCGGGTTGGCAGAAATCCACCAACGAAGAGCTGCTTGCAAAGGTGTCGGAAGCGCTGGCTAATGCCCCAAATGGTTGGGTCGCCGACGGGAATTATTCCGGCAACCTCTTAGACAGCTCGACGGACAGAATTTGTGAATGCGCTGTCATGCAATTTTTCGCTCGTAGTTAACTAACCCTTTCTTCGCATAGGGCTCGACCCGCCATTGATTCTATACTTCCCTCGGATCGTAATCCGCACAATCCTGCGCCTCCTTAGATTGCGCGCGCCATGCAGCCCAGGCTGCCCCGAAATGCTATCGGAGGTACTTTTTTCCAAGGAAAGCATTGTCTGGTGGTGCATCACGCACCACAGTATCGTTCGCAAACGCGAGGGCGCTCGGAAGGCAGAGATCGGTATAGGCGTGGGCAGCAATGTCGAGCGGCAAAAGATGCGGAGGCTTGGAGGATGGGGAGGCGAACTGCGCGCGTGGCTTGCAGATGTGAAGCGTATGCTCCAACGCCAGTAGTGAAAGTACTGTTCCCACATTCGAATTGTATTTGATTGATTCTTCGTGGAAGTGATACGCCCGATTCGCCAAAAATAAGAGGAAGGCAGAAAGTCTGTTTCATCAGGCTCAATGTGGTTGTTGGAAGGTCTAAGAGACAAAAAATGTTCTCCGAGCGTAGACGCGGTTGGAACTGATTTTTAATCAGCATCAAAATATTAGACAGGATGTGCAAAGCCGCTCAGAGCCGCATTCGGCTTTTGTGCATTGTGAAACGCCGCATGCGGCACCGTGCGGCTTTTGATTCCCAATCCATAAAGTACATAAACCTTGCATAGAGTGCTTCGAAGCTGTTGGTGTTGACTCCGGTGATAAGCCGTGTATCAAACACGGGTGTAATTTTGTGATTTGCACCTTTACACCCACTTAACACGCATACTCCACAGTTATAGAAGCTATTGTGAGCTCCGATCGAGTAAGCTTAAAGCCACAGGGCTTAGGTCTCCCTAGGACACGGATATATTGCGGTACCTCTACTATGGGACTATAAATATGACCTGACCGAGACTAGACTGACTAAAAACACTCTAATCTATATTCAAGATTAGGTGTCTGCCAGGCTATTAACAAGGAGATGGGAAGGAACTATAAAACTCGCTTGCAGGCGACCTCGGTCCACCAAACCGGGCTAGATTCAAGGGCTGTTTACCCATATTTGACGAACTGGATCAGCGTGTTGGATCACATGACAGGCTAGCGGGTCTGCCCGAAAGAGCAGAGCCATCGGCAATGAGCGGTGGCTGTGTAAAATCGTGATGGCTGTTGAACTAAAGAAAGAACATGGAATATCTCGACAACCACGGAGGCTACAGACACGATCCTGGTGTCTACAGGGAGCTACGACACAGACGATGAATACCGACGCCTGGGACGGGCGGTTGGCGAAGAACTACGAAGTGCACGAGTTTCTGACTCGGATATTCAAATGACCTCAAACACGGAGTTGTATGACTCAGGTCTGACTCAAGACTGACTCAGCGGTTGTGGGACGGCCAATCAGGATAGAGGGAATGGCTAATATCAGCCCGACGGGACGGAAAGCTATCCAAGAATAGAGTAACAACCGTGATGTAAGGTTTTTCAGAGTAGTATAAAGGGAGGGCCAGAGAGCTAGGATCGGGAGCAAATTGTGCTGGAGCTCTGCGGACGCGAGTTTCAGTGCAGTTATAGTTGCTCAGAGTCCTAGAGTTACATTTGTACTCTTGCATTCTACATAAATACCATTGGATTGGATTGGATCTGAAGTTGTGATTAAGACACTGTGAACGGCTTGACTGAGACACTGAAATTGGACACTGTATCGAATTGGGACTGTAAAGAACCTAGAAACTGTGTTTAGAGTCGTGTTTGACTTGTGCTGAAACTGTGGAGTGATCCAGAGACCCAAACCGCCTAATCTCGATTAGGTCAACCTCGTCTTAATTGACATAAACCTGCCGGTTCTTCGAAGCCGTTACCTAAAATATCGTTCATACAACCGCTATCGAGTAATTCGATTGACCCGAGAGAACCCAGCGCTTCACAGAGCCTTGAAATCGTTCAAATGAACTATCCCACTCGTCTTAGAGTTTGAGTTGTCCAGTGACCTAATACTTGGTCTACTTCCCCGAACAAACACACACCTTGTCCACTCATTAAGAGGAGGAGTAGTTGTTGGATTTGTGATATATTGGTTGTTTTGTGTTAGATTCATTCTTGCACTTTGCGCCAGTCTAGCATTTAGATCTTCCACCCACACCTTGAGTTAGGCAAAGCGTTTCACCGGCTCCAGGTGGAAGGAGGAGTGTGGAAAATGGTTGAAAAATGCCCTGTTTGGGCAGAATTGCAGCCATAGCCGCACAGTGTGTGGCGAAACCAAATAACGACATGAAAGTGGTGTACTTTATGTTAGGTAAGTGGTTCAGTGTACTGCATAGCACCTAATTTACTCAGATTTCATTGGAATGACCAAGGATCCGCTCATAAATCCTTTGGTTTATCACGCGGCTTTGCACAATGCACAAAAGCCACATGCGGCTCTGTGCGGCTTTGCACATCCTGTCTAATGGCACTGCTTAAATTCGGCTTAAACACTGGCAGGGGCATACGCTGAATCTTAAACTTTTCATTTATTCCAGTGAATGTCCCAGTGAACTTGTTCAGCTCACACCGCGCCCATTTCTGCGAGGCTGAAAAAGGTAAGGTGTTCAGCCCAATCGCACACAATAAATACCCATTGATTCAAGCACCACTACCTACTAACATCGGCTCGATAGCGGACGGTCTGCGCCTGCCCTACCTACAACGATCATAAGCCATTTGGTCGCAGGAGATGCCCGTTCGACCCGGGCTCGGGCCACTTCTTGGTCGTTGCTTCGTGCCTTTTTCCTGACTTGCGGGAGGTTGAAATTATAGAGGGTGGGTTGGGAGGGCGGCGCACTATTCTGCCTTCTCTGAAACTTGGATATTATTCAAAGGGATATTCTGACCTGTGTTGTTCACCTGTACCCAATTTCAGATGCTGTGACTTCTGCCTGCATAGATTTCGTTGATTTGTCATCCCTTGGTTTTTAACTTCTACTGTAGGTATCTTTCGGCTCAAGAGGATGGTCTCAGAATGCGGGAGTTCCCTGTATCACAGCACTCTAACATTGGGCATGTCGACAGGTGTTCAACCACTGGATTATCGGGTTGCGGCTGGCTTGAATTTTAGAGGGTAGTTTGGGAGAGCGGTCCAGGATTCTGTGTCTTTGAAATTCAACTAAACATGATGTGAATCTGAGCAGTTCGTAGAGGATCAGTGGCGGGTGGTGCGTGACTGTAAAACGTAGAAACACCATAGAAGAGGCGTCATGCAGCCTGTGCCTGGAGCCATAGATACTCTCCTACGTGTTTTTCGATTGGTTTGGGGCCCAATGATGTTTTAATTCTGTGAAATGAACAAGCTTCGATGAGGTATTCAAGGCTCCGTCGCGGGGTGCCCCGCATCTGCAACCGGTTCAACGGCGGAGACTGTTTGCCAGAGTGGGCCTCACCAAATCAGGCCGGAGCCATTACATATCATCTTGATGATTTTGTTTTGGGCTGGTTGCGGTGTATACGAAGCATTTTGGCCAGGCCTTCCCGCGCTTTGAAACCTTGCCCTCGCTCATGAAGGCGAAGTTCGGATATCACCGGGTCACGTTATCAAGCGTGTCGCGTCAGCACGGCACGCAGGACCAAACAACCCACTCCCTTCAGCACAAAGACAACGTTTGAGGCACTCTGAGATCGATGAGGGCTGCTGGAGAGATCCGCTACGCATTGGTATATATCAAACCTCGCGCATCTGGAATACACATTGGGTAGAACACGGTGGTCGGTCTCCGAGTAAGCCGAGGCTCAGGGTATTTATGTATGTGAGGCGGCACGCTAGTCAGGCATAATCCACCTCTGGAGTAAGAATGTAAGGCTACTTCGCAGTGTGGACTGCATCTGCAATCCGTCAATCGGCGTTCATCACGAGGGCAGCATCTGGTGGCCGTTCGACTCGGGCGGGAGCCATGCGCCAAGAACCTCTTCGCATTTTTAATTATCGTGTAATACCAATCGTCTAATTCCCAGGGCCGGAACTCTGCCTACGATCTTGACGCCGGCGGATGGAAAGGCGAAGATGCCGTTCGCACATGCGGCGCCCAAACCACAACTTTATTGAGATCAAGCCAACAACATTATTAAGCCAACTCGTGGAGGAATGAAGACAGCACGAGGGCAAGGCCAGCTTTGGTTTGCGGGATAGTTTGGGCATTGACATACAGCGCAGCGAGCCATCAATATTTCAGGAAATTCAACCTGTATTCGCGCGCATTTCACGGCCTTCGGTCTTGAGACCGGCGCGCGGAGGCGCACGGATCATATATTCGAAGGTACTCAACAGATCAAGGATGAGGATGTGGAGGCTAGGCAGGGAATTTAAATGGTTGTCGAAGTGGAGCGACTGGTCAGGCCCCGGCGAAACCTGATCAGGCAAATGAGAAGTGAAGGAAGGCAGAAGACACGAAATCTGGTTTCAATAGAAGAAGCAAACGCCGTGAGAACTTTGCGAAGCCTCGACACACCTTCAAGCTTGCGGAGGAAGGTGTTCTGTAGCTCAGCCAGCTGTAATGAGAGGATGGGCGGGTATAACCCGTGACAAAGTTGGGGACACAAGGCTCCGTCTTAAATTTGTTTCGTATTAGCGGCACGGTAAATATCTGAGAAGGATAGGGAGTAAATCTACTCGAGAAGCAAGTATTCAAGGCTCCGTCGCAGTGTGGACTGCAGCTGCACCCCGCTCATCGGCAAAGACTGTTCACGAGAGCGCACCTGTTCGACTCAAGTCGGAGCCATACACATTATTCTCCTTGTTTTTTTTTCTTTTTTCGATTGACTTTGCACCCAAGGACATTTGAACTCGGTGAGATCAGATAAGCTTCGATGAAATATCTGAGGCTCCGTCGCGGGGTGGCCTGCATCTATCAAAGCCGTTGGAAGAGAGAGTGAAATTGCGCAGAATGCGCCTGTGCGGCTCAGGCCGGAGCCAGTCGGATTCCGGACCACCTTTTCAGTCGCATTTGCGGTGCACATCCGAGAGAGTCAGTGATACCCCACCCCCGAGAGACGAATTTACGGCTCCGTCGCAGTTTGGACTGCATCTGCAACCCATACATGATTCTACCACTTCCATAGCAGACTACGCCTGTTCGACTCAGGCCGAAGCCATTCCAGGTGCTTAAGATTTTTTGAGTCCATTCGCCTTTTCTTTTCTCGGTGCGGAGATGCGAAGGGATGTCATTGTCCCGGCGTTCCTCGAGCCTGCGCACAACTTGATGTGCAGCAAAGGTAATGTGTAATGTTTTGCCGCTGGTTATGAGGGTGCATCAACATCTAAATATTTCGCCTGCTTCTGAGAAGTTAATTTGAGTATAATACAGCGCGCTGCATAAACCACACAATCGCTTCTTCCCTCTCGCTCCCTCGACAAAGATCATGGCCCCGAAGAGTTTACCGAAAGGTGCGTACGGCGCGGGCATGTGTACCACGACAATGGTGTCGGGTCGAGCGGGTGGGATGCGTCGGGGGCATATACGTAGACCTCCAGCTGTACGGCTCGTCTTGAGGGAGTTTTTAGGGGAGACCTTAAGCCGGAGGGGGACAGGGAGGATAGGGATGCAACGGAAGAGTTGAGCGCGAAGATTACGACGCACGTCTCCATCCCCCAGTCGATTGTGCGGATCTGCATGAGGGTTCGCCGAGGCCGGGGTACGGGTCCGCGAAGCGCTGCGCTGGACGTTGAGGACGCCGAGACGGAGGAGAGAAGAGCGGAGGTACAAAGCGGAGTTGAGCAGCAAAGCGAGGAAGACGCCATATGGCAGGAACGGGAGGGAGTCTGCGCGCCACATTCATTAATTTGAGGAATTTTCCGGACAACCCTTTGGTAGAGCTTCACGGGGCCTATTCATTAGCCTCAATTTCTGTCATATGAGCGTCAAGGTAGTGGCAGACGTACCCCTTCGCAAGGGCATAGATTGCTTCCGACGACGCGTCTGCGTCTGGCTCGAGCGGGAGGCGGGGCGTCGAGGCCAGTCGAGGCCGACATTAATATTGTGGGCGCGACAACAAGCAGAGTGGTGTCGTAAGGATGTCGTAATCAATCAGATGCAGATGGGGATTGCCGGAATGAGATGGTTCAGTTCGACAGGTTCCGGATGGTTAGCCTATCAATGAGATGTTCAGAACTGTGCACCCGTGCTTATCAGGCTGACAAATTTGTACGCGTCCGGCGAATTCGAGCGCGACGTTAGCCTCACGCGCCGCACGAGAGTCGAGGAGGACGGGCATCGTACATATCCGACATCGATGCGGGTCATTTTCGGTCGCCGACATCTCTGTATAATGCCGTACGCTGTACTATTTCAATGCGTTCTGCGTGCTTTCAAGTGGCGCACTGAGTCTCGGATTCTGTGTGCTCCCCTAGAGTTCAGAGGGATGATGTGGGCATGCGCAGTTCACGCCGCCCGATCTGCAAGTGCTGATTCATCCTCCCAGCGGCTCGATGGCAGACGGTCCGCGCCTGCGCTGAATGGAAGGCGCATCGTTCGAATTTATTTGCAGGCCACGTCCGTTCGACTCGGGCTCGGGCTATCCAGTGGCCACATCCTCTTTTTCTAAGCTCGCGGGGGCTTTAAGTTTTAGGTTTTGCGAGCGGCACCGTGCTGAATGTTGCAGCTGTTCCCGAAAACCTTGACACTGCGTGCACTTTTTTGACGACGCCCATCTTTTGATGCAAGGCTAAGGACTACCGGTTTGGGTGTTACCGAGCGGAGCCGATATCAGCCGAGCCTTCGTCGAGCTCAGATTCTCCTATGGTGCACGCCGCTTAGTCGCCACCTCTGGGTGACAACTCTTACTCGTCACCCAGTTTGTCCGCTATTTTATATCCCTCTTGGCAAACAGCTCCTTTTCACTGGAGCTGCAGATCCCCAAGAGGGATTCTTATTATCAGATTTATTGAGTGAGTTATAAAATTCACGGCCCTCGGATTTGGCAGTGCCCTATATAGCCTCACTACCACGGCCTTCAAGGCATCTCTGGAAGCTTTCAGTAATCTTCCCCTTTTACAATTTGCCATTGGGACAGTGCAATGGCCAGTTCTGACATCGCGAAATCCTATCAAAGTCCCTTCAAATTGAGGGTAAAAAGTAAAATTTGCGCCCCAGCCAGTTTGGCAGTATACATAGGAGGTGACTAAGCTGCGCACCATACCTGAAATTTCATCCATGGCAATAATTGCAGGGGGTTTTGGGTGAAATAATGTTAACTGGCTGTGTTTTACATGTTGAATGCATTTAGGGAACAAGGCTGGGCTGGCGGTCGCTGACCCTTCCAGAAATGCCGGCTGATCTGAACCCAATACGGTAGTTCTTAGTATTCTATCAAAAGTTGACGAAGGCGAAAAAATTGCACGCAGTGTCAAGGTTTCCAACACTCGATGATACACCCGGTACACACCCGCGGCATTGGGGGAAACCGTTTTTTGTTGCAGGAGAGGCCTGTTCGGGCTCGGGCAATTATTGAAAAAAATGCACACCCTTTTTCCATCCTTCACGACAGAAAGACAGCTTATTGGGTGCCGGGATATGCTCGCACGAGGATCTCATCACTTGCTTCTCAGGCCCATGATTCTAAATCAGTCAATGCTCCGGCTCTGTAACCCCGCATCCGATGCACCCGACATGCCCACATATCCAACGACCGCTCACCGCGCCCACCGGTCCGCACCTGCAGCGCATATCGTGGCAAAAACCGATGCTCATGGGCGATGCCCGTTCGAGCGCCACT